CGGGAGAAGCACTTCGAAAACATGAAAGAGGTGCACCCACCGTTCATCACCGATCAGGCCACGGGCACGTTCCATAGGGTTGGCGTCAATTAAAAGGTCACGTTCAACAGTGAGACCGCGGCAGCCGACTTCCAGGAGCAGTTCAACAGAGTGGGTCGCATGTGGACAGACCCGCGCGACCACGCTAAGCATCCGTTTCGTGCTCGAGGCGATCTACCAATTGATGCGAGAAACAGGCGCCGCGCATTCTCTGCAATTTTCTCGGGGGTCAAGGATTTATTGGCTTCCCCGCCGCGATGGGACCCAACGTGCAGTCTTGTAGTGAATGAATGCAAAGGTCTACTGCAGGTCAGCAGCGATGGCGATCTGTGGGGATTCGTATTTGCGAAGCCTGCTGGATTCAAAGATGGGCATGAGGCATGTACATTCGAGCCCAAGCAGACGGAGCTCAGCCAGTGGAACATCAGCTCATAGCAGATTTAGAATGTGATCAGTCAGGCAGGGGCAGAAGCACGCACACTTGAATATGGAGAAGGTTTCTGATATACTAACGCACGGGGGCGCCCGAAGAAAATATCATCAGTTTCGCGGGGCAGGAGGCATCGCTCAAGTTCTGGCTCATCATTCGCTTCCCCTGCCTCCTCACCCCCGGCATCTTCTGGGAGCTCGAGCGCTGCGTCGGGTGGGGGGGCCCTCTGGCGGCAGCTCAAGCAGTTCATCCTCCTCCTCCTCTGGGTCTACCTCGGTGGGTGAGCACGCCCTGCTTTTTTTTCTTCGCACTCGAGTGGGATTTGCGTCTTGGAACTGCCATGCGCCTTTCTGGAGCTTTAGGAGGGGGTCGTAAGACGCAGGCGTGCACATATGCTTGTGCCAAAGGGCTTCTCGCTAAGTGCGATGCACGCACGTTTCAGGAGACCCACGGGTGCCCAGGTGATCTTGAAACACTTCGGCAGGAGGTCGCATCTCACTCGCACTTTGGGTCATTGTGCTCTGCCGTGGGGGCCGGTGGAGTCGTCGCTAGCATGTCCAAGAAATTGGAGCAGCAGTTCTCACATGCAGTGCATCGTGTGCTCGTGCCTGGCCGTATTCAGTCTATCTGGCTCCTCTCCGACTCCCAACGTCTTCAGGTCTGCAATGTACATATCGTTCCAGGTATCCCAGAAGCTCGGGTGAGACTTCAGATGGACATGATCAAACGCTACATGCCCCCGCTCTCCTCTTGCACTGTCGCCCTGATGGGCGCTCTCAATGTTGTCGAGTCTGGCGAGGCCCGCTTGCAGACCCGCGGCGGCGTCGAGCGCGCGGGGGGCAGCAGGTTGAGCATTGCTTTTCATCGACGATTCCCCAAGCTTGTCGAGCTCTCCCAAGCTAGGTTCACATAGACGTAATACGGAAACACTGCTGACCTTATCCAGAATTGACAGGATCTATTGCAGTATGGAAGCGGCCGACCATTTAGATCTGCATCCTCAATCTAGCATTGTCTGGCCTATTCAGAACCTCAGGAAGCCCTCCGACCACGCCCCGATCCCCCTTGCCCTCTTCCCGATGGCGGAGAGACCAGAAGTGCAGAATATCCCTGGATGGATTGCTCGGGGTCATGGGCCCAGACGAGCTCCACGAGCTCCCCCCCCCCTGAGAAGCTCTTGGGGCTGATGTATTGGTTTCGGCATGCTGCCCACGGCGCGAGGATCCGCGTATTCCCCCAAGGTGCTTGTACCCCCTCGGAGAAAGTCTCGCGTTGTACAGAAATACGTAGGGCCTCCAGGGATGGGATTTCAGCAGTCTGCAGGAAGGCTGTCCAGGCCGATCAGGAGTGGGCGCAGTTCTACTGCGTGCAGGTCGACAGGTGGATCGATCTACCTGGATTTCATGCTCTGCTAAGTCATCGCATGAGAGGTCCTGGACGAACATGAAAGCAGTATCTTCGAGAGCGACATGCCAGCCATGATTAGAGAGAAACACATCGAGAGAGAGAGAGAGAGAGAGAGAGAGAGAGAGAGAGAGAGAGAGAGAGAGAGAGAGAGAGAGAGAGAGAGAGGCGACTTAACAAGGCTTAGCGTGCTTCCAAGAGGCAGGTGGCCCTCTTCGCTGTGCTGGATCAACACGGCGTGGCACAAAGAGTGCCTGAGGACTGTGCACGCGCGCTGTCTGGCTACTGGTCCTCGGTGTTTCAGTCCGGGGAGTCCGCCAACGCGCGTGCTGGGCAGTTTTTAGATCTGGCCCCGGAGCTTGAGTTGGATGATTACCAATGCACCACCAGAGGCCGCCAGAGATACCCCTGGGTCGTTAGCCCTGGTCAATTTAGACACATCCTGATGTCCAAGTAAGACGCCGCACCTGGGCCCGATGGGCTGCCGCACTCGGCGTGGCAATGTGGGAATGAGGTGATGGTGGATTTCTTCAGGCACATTATGTATATGATGAGTGGTGGTGTGCTACATGCTGCACTCAATCACTGTAGATTGGTTCTTCCCTAAATGCGACGTTCCTGGGTCTGGGATGGCGTGAGACAAGGTTTGAAGAAACGGGGCTCCTGGCGCTCAGAAATACGGGCAACAAAACTCACGGCTTCAAGTTTAGCTTATCCCCTCAAGCATGTCGTTCGTGAAAATCTTCACCCCATCCAGAGGGGCTTTATTAGCGGGTGCAACATACTAGATAACGTGCTCGAGTTCGAAGGTTCGATGGCCTTGTGGGGGGTCATCTGCCAGGAAGCGACGGTTGGAGGTGCAGCCTTCGACTTGAAGGCAGCATTTCCGTCGATCTATACGTGCTGGCTCTTTAAAGTGTTGGATGCCTTTGAGCTGCCCGCAGACGTGCGAGGCGCATTGCGCGCGCCCTACCTGCGCGCGCACTGTGTCACTTAGATTGGTGCCCATCTTTTCGAGGGGTTTGAGGCGCGTCGTGGAGCGCGCCAAGGTTGCCCTTTGAGTGGGATATTGTTCGCGTTCGCGTTCGACCCGCTGCTCAGAGCTCTGGTCGGGATTCAACTTCGATGTCCTGTTGTTCCGTCGGCGTTCGCATATGATTTATCGGTCATGGTGCATCGCATATTTCGTGCACTTCCTGGAATCCTGGCGCCTTTCAAGCTTTATGGTCCCTGCTCTGGTTTGGTTTTGAAGTATAAGAAATGCAAACTGCTGTTATTCAGAAATCCTGGGAAGGAGGAGGTGGTGAGGAAGTTTCTTGAAATTGGAGCCGACGCTTCAGAATTCGAAGTCGCGGACATGCTCGTGGCATTAGGCATTCCTGTCGGGCGAGGTGTACGTGCACATGCTTGGAGGATGGCCAGCAGCAAGGTCCGCGCTCGGGCAAATGAAGTCAAAGCTCTGGGTCTGGGTTTGACCGGGTCAGCTATTGCATGCAATCGTTGCTGTGTTCCCCTCTTCTCCCACGCCGCCCAGTGTCATATCATCGCCAAGCTTGCCCCTGAGGAATGGAAAGGAAAGCCACCAACTGCTCACTCGAGCCCCGCGACAGTCGTTCCCGCCTCAGGCTCTTTGTAGACTCCAGGAACTTGGCTGATCCGTGGAGTGCAAGTGTTTGAAGATCATCGTGGGGGGCTCGATGCTGCGCGCGGTCATCTGACCCCAAGCGTTCATGAGATTGAGAGAAAGCTTCCAGAACACGATATATAGTGAAGTTACCAACATGACGTGGAAGAGGAATGGCTACCTGAATGACTTTATCTTCTACAACATATATTGTATGTATGAATGGTTCTGCACTATCAAGAATATTGATGAGCTCCCGTAGCCTAAAGTCCAGTCAGCCATGTATAAGATATTCAAGACCCGTGAAGCGAATGATCACTGTACGGTGAGTAAGGTGATCGCTCCACGTCTACTTAAATTGCTCGGTCCCCTCCCTCCTGGTGCTACCGACCTCGCCATCGTCCGTATCAGTATTATGGAATCCCGTAGGGTCCCCCCGTTCATCATCGTCAGTGTTCTCGAATCCATATTCAACGCGTGGAATACAACCCGTCGCTACCGACCAAAACTTAGACCCTGTGTGTTTGGATGTGGCGCCCGAGACTCGGACTGCATGGGACATTATATGATATGTCCTGTATTGACTGACGAAGTGAGACATCATCTTCCTTATCTGCCCCGGAGCTGGTGCACGGTTGCATATCAGGTTTTTTGCTTTCATTTGTTCGACTTGGTCTTTGTCCTCCCTGGTGAGGGTACCCACGTGCCTCCACCTTCGGCCGCCCTCCTTTCCCATGCTGTTGCTATCGATGCTGTACATTATGTATTTTGCGTGTTCAGGTGTAACCCTGACACTCCCCAAAGGTCCAGTGAGTTGCTGCTGGCCCGCCTCCGATGCTCCTCCAGGAGATCGAGGCTCGTCCGTGCTCTCTGTGGGTAGTCTTTTTGTACGTTTCGTCGTGTTCGTTCCCCCTCTTCGCCCCTTTTTCCTTCTTCCGGGTCTCTCCCTGGCTCTGTGGGTTCAGGTCTCTGGAGGCCGCGCTGGGGCCTCATGATAGTCGGCGCGGTGTAGGCGATGAAGACGTTGTCTCCCCAGCGGTGCCCTTCCTCCTCCTCCTCCTCCTCCTCCTCCTCCTCCTCCTCCTCCTCCTCCCCCCTCCTCCTTCTCCTCCTCTTCCTCCTCCTTCTCCTCCTTCTGTTCCTCTTCCTCCTCCTGCTGCTCCTTCTCCTCCTCCTCCTCCTCTTCCTCCTCCTCCTCCTCCTCCTCATCCGCGCGTCGCCGCGCGCCGCCGCTCCTGCCGACAGACTCTTGAAGTGTACTGGCGCCTTCCTTTTGTGCTCTTCCAGCTCCTCCTCCTCCTCCTCGGTCCCTTTGCCCCCCTGAGATTCGGCGTTGCGATTCATTGCAACATCGCGAGCCCATCATTCGCGGAGCCCTGGGCCCAGTCTTTCTGCGTTTTTTCGAGCCGGATCTATCTGGCATGGTCCTGGAGCCCGAAACAAGTCAAACACATCCGTTGCGGAAAACTTGTCGCCGGGATCTCAGGGCTCTTCCCCTCGCAGGACGCGGCCCCCTCGAGGATAGCGCCGGGGAGACGACCAGGCTCCCGTCCAAGCACCTCGTGCGCGGCCTGGAGCTGGCGCGCATGTGGCCCGCCGCCGGGGCTGCGACCACCCGCGAAGAGGAGAGGTTTATGGTTTATAGTTGTTCGGGAGGAAGGGGATGATACATATGATGATGATGATAATGATGATGATGGTGATGCTGATGATGATGATGATGCTGATGCTGATGATGATGATGATGATGATGATGATGATGCTGATGCTGATGCTGATGCTGATGCTGATGATGATGATGATGATGATGCAACTGATGATGAAGAAGATGCTGATGTGGATGATGAAGATGATGATGTTGCTGATTATGATGACGATGATCATGATGTGGATGATGCTGATGATGATGATCATGATGATGACGATGAGGATGATGAGGATGCTGCTGCTGTTGATGGTGGTGGTGATGATGATGCTGCTGCTGATGATGATGATAACGATGATGGTGATGGTGGTGATTATGCTGCTGATGACGATGGTGATGATGGAAATGAAAATGGCGATGATGATGGTAATGACGATGATGATGACGAAGGTTATGACGATGGTGGTGATGCTGGCGGCGGTTGCGACACAGGCCCCCTGTCCTTGCGGTACAGGTGTTCCGTATCCCTGCCGTCGGGGCAACATGATGATGATGGTGATGATCATGGCCGGGATGGTGACGGTGATTGTGTCTGTTGCTGATGATGCTGTTGATGACGAGGACGACGATGATGATGCTGATGTAGATGATGGTGATGACGAGGATGAGGACTATCAGGATGGGATGATGTAGTTGATGATGATGGTACTGACGATGATTATGATGATGATGATGATGGTGACGACGATTCAGAGAATGATGATTGTTATGATGATGGTGGTGATGGCGATGATGGTGATCTGATGGTGAGGTGAAGGGTTATGGTGCTGAGGATGGTGGTGAGGATGAGCGTCATATACTGGTGATGCTGATGTTGACGATGATGATGATGATGCTGATGATGATGATGCTGATGCTGATGCTGGTGATGATGACGATGACGATGATAATGATGCTGACGTTGCTGATGATGATGATGATGGTGCGCATGGGAACGATGATGGTGTAATGATGATGAAGATGATGGTGATGGTCATGGTGATGATACTGGTCATGATTATGATGACGACTACGATGAGTATGATGATGATGATGGTGGTGGTGCTGATGATGACGATGATGATGATGATGCTGCTGTTGATGATGATGATGGTGATACATATGATGAGTCAGCTGATTATGATGATGCAGCCGTTGCTGTTGCTGCTGCTGCTGCTGCTGATGATGATGATGATGATGATGGTGATGCTGCTGCTGCTGATGATGATGCTGATGATGATGATGATGATGATGATGATGATGATGATGATGATGGTGGTGGTGGCGGTGGTGGTGATGATGGTTGTTGATGTTCTTCACTGCCACCTGCCCCTCCTCTTTTTCCCGCCGCACTTTTCGGCACAAGCCCTCTCGACGAGAGGTCCCAGGGATGGCTAGGCCTTTTTACCTGCCCCCAGCGGGGGCGCGAGCCGCGTGTGGTGAAACAGATCATCACATCGACATTGGCAGCGGAGCCATAGTCGAGCGGGATCGATCCACGGCACGGCGTGCTGTCGCGGAGGTCGCGACAGAAGAAGTTTCGGTGAAGCCGCCCACATTGGGATGAGTGGTACCTGGGCGGCGGCAGCCAGGCCGATGGCGCAGCGCGCTGGATCGGAAGGCAATCCCTAGGACGGTGTCCCTGCTGAGGACGAAGGTTTCCGATCGGCTGCCGAGGGATCGTGGCGCGAGCGCGGCGCTAGAGGGTCGCAGAGCTCGCCAGAGGACCCTTCCGCGGCGCGGGAGGCCCTTAAAGTGGGCGCGTGGAGCCGCAACGGCAGATGGGGATCGTGGAGTGGATGGGCCACTCACAGACAACATTGGCCCGAGTGTGGCAGTTCAGGAGCAGGGGCGCTGAGCCCCACGACGGCTGGAACCTAGCGTGGCAACCTCCTGGCACGGGCGGGCAGCGACGGCCGAGTCTGATCAGAGCTGGGATTGGTTAGCCAGCGATTGGTCGGACACACCTGGAGTCGGGACGGCTGGGACGCCTGTCGCACCGTCGGAGACGGTGAAGGACGAGACCGAGGTTGGGGTGACGAGAAGCTCGTCCCTGAATGGGATAGGAAGTCGGTGCCACTACGCACATACGAACGCCGCGTGAATATATTCGGGTTGACAACTGCGATACCGCCTGAGAGGCGAGGCGGGCGGCTGCTCTCCAGACATAAGGGTGATGTTAAGATCGAGACGGGACATCTCGACTCCAAGGATCTCGATACGCCAGATGGTGTCCAGGTGCTCTTGCACTATCCGCACAGCAAGTTCAATCAGCAGGATACGTTGACGGTCAGTACTCTCGTAGAAGAAGAGTGCGTGGAGAAGCTCGTCCGCAACGTGGGCGAGGATGTTCTGGATTCTGAAACCCGTTACGAGGCGAAGGTGCGTGATTTAGAGGAGGCGATGGACGAGCCCCCTCAACAAGCACCTGGAGGTGCACTGCTTCATGAAGAAAATACGCGTAGGAGGCGACGAAGAGAGTCGTATCATCGAGGTGCTGACAACGAGCTGGTCCACGAGAAGCTGAGGGGCTCAGCCAAGGCATGCGTCGTCCAGGTCGTGATGCTTAGGAGACCGACGGGGCCACCTGCGGGCGTCGGTGGTGGCGCGCGCCGAGAGTACCTCGCCAGGGGCCGCTGGGCCGCTGGAGGCCGGGACGGGGCCCCCAGCGAGGAGGACGCCGCCCCGCGCGCGCCGCGGACGGGGGCCGGGCGGGCGGCTTGGCAGAGGCCGCCGAGGAAGAAGACGACCGGCCCGAAGACGGGGTTTTCGAGGACGAGCAGGACTCCGAAGCCGACCCAGGAGCCGTGGCCGAGGCGGCCGAGCACGAGCGACTGCCCGAAGGGTTGGCGGCCTTTCCAGCGGATCATTCGGTCAAGATGACTCAGGCGAAGAAGGCCCGCGCGGAGGCCGAGAAGGCCCGCGACTTCTACTGCGGCGGCGGGAAGACTGGGGGCAGTGTCAACGCAGAGAGGATCAAAGGCTCAAGCTCGCGCTCCCGTGCAAGCGCTGTGGCAGTCAGGCCTAATGGAAGGGCGATCCATAGTGCCCGGGGGCCCCGGGTAAGGAAGGAGGGGCGACTTCGGTGAGCGCGGTGGCCAATCCCGCCGACGCAGTGGAGCAGGGGCCAGAGGAGGCCCCCGCGGTCGCGGGCGCTCGGAGCGTGCTGATCGCTGAGACTGGCGACAAGCTGTGGTTGATCGTGGTGAATACCGCTTGTGCGGAGTCCGTGGCAGGGCTTGCGTGGTGCCGGCCGCTGTCGGCGCGCGCGCGGAAGACCTGGGGATGCGAGCTCGAGACCGACAAGGCCGCGAGCCCTACAGGTTCTGGCGGACAGCTGCGCCGGTGCCCGCAGAGCGGGCGGGAAAGGGAGCTGCGATCCGCATCGGCCTTGCGGAAGAGGACGCGCCCCCGCTGATCTCGGGAGGTGCCCAGACGGGGCTGGCAGCGCGCATCCACGTAGAGGAGGGCGAGAGCACCCTCGGAGCGATCAGCTGGGCCAGGTTGCCGCTCAAGGAGCCGAGCTCGGGGCGCGCGGCGATGTCTACCCTCGACTGCGGGACGTCGGGTCCGAGTGCGTGGGTCGGCGACGCAGTCGGCCGATGCTGGGCAGGTGCCGAGGTCGCGCTCTACGGTCGCGGATCATCGCGCGAGGGCGCGTGCTGCGCTCCTTGCGTGGGCGGCCGGCCAGGCGAACGACGAGCGAGACGAGGCCGCGATGGCGCTGGCGACCGCAGCCCCTCTCGGCTCAAAGCATCCACAAGGGCACTCGCAAGGGCGAGCGGGCGCCGTGCTCGGCGGCGCGCGCGGGCTCGCGCGGGCGCTGCCGTGGCCCCGGGCGGTCGCGCCGTGCCGCGGCGGAGCGGCGGGGGGCCGTCTGGCCCTGCAGGTGGTGCGTCTGGCCTGGGCGGCCCAGTGCCAGAACCCGCTGGTGGGCTACCTGGAGACGAGGTCGAGACTTTCCGACAGATGCACGAGGCGGAGCTGGTGACGCTAGCCATCCAAGATTTGGGCTGGCGACGGGATCGAGCGGAATCGGAGACCCTTGGTCAACTGAGGCTTGCGCTTCGGGAGAGGAGAGACGCGGGGCAGGGGGCGGAGGTCGAGGAGGGCGATTCTCGGACCACCCCGCCGACTTTGGCCAACGCGGCGCTGGCGAAGCTCCCGGAAGAGGCCGCGGCTAGGGAGATCGACTCGGACAGGCGGGCGCTACAAAAAAAGGGAAGGGCGCAAAACAATTGAGGCTGACGGGGGAATGCTGGCGCGACGGCATGGCGGTGACGCCGCCCCCGCGTGGCGGAAGAAGAAGATCCGCTGGCGGGGCGTCTGGGGATCCGCGAGCGCTGCCAGCGATCGCTGATCGAGACAAAGGGCCAGGAGCTCGCGGGGCGGGCGGTGGCCGTGCAGGACCGCGGTGCCCCGACCCGGTGGACGGACGGCGACGGCGCCCTTTTCTCGTGAGCTTTTCGGGCGGAGCGGGGCCGTCGGGTGGGCGGGCCGGAGAAGGCGCTGCCCAGCGACGGCTTGCGGGCGGACAAAATGACCGGATTTGGGCGCAGTGCGGCGGCGAGCCGTCTCTGGTCGCTCCGGAACGCCTGGGGGCGCTGAGCCCCGAGGAGGAACGCTTGGCTGAAGACGGGGAACTGGCGTGGTCCCTGGGCGAGATCCCCCAGGCCATGCGCCGCGAGGAGTTCGAGGGCCTCGAGGCCCAGGAGACCGCCGGCGGGCCGGTGCCGGGGGGCGAGACAGACGAGGGCCCCGCGCCACCCGCGGCGGCGGCCTAACAGGAAGAGGAGGGCGAAGCCGCGGCAGATGGCGGGGTCGCTGCCGACGGCCCCCCCTGGGCTGTCCAAGGAAGCGGATTGCCCGCTGGGCTGTCGGGGGAGGTCGAGAGGTTCGAGGCGCGGCCGGGATTTCGCGCGACCGAACGGGGCAACCCCGCATGGGGCCGCGCCTGGTCCCAGGTCACGCTTGAGGGGCGGCGTCCCCCAGGCAAGCGGTCGTTGCGCGCGACCTGCGAGATGCGCGGCGGGGCCCGGCGGTGCGCTGAGCACCGGGTCGAGTGGGCTTGGATGATCAACCCCTGGGAGGTCGCCCGACCCGCCGCCGACAGCATGCCGGTGGTTTTCGAGGAAAAAAAATATCCCGGCAAAGCAACCTAACAGCGATGTGTAGGAGCATATCTGGAAGCATTCCCCTTAAGATTCGGACGAGAATCCAGTTGTAGAATTCTGCTGTTCTCGCAGTCGTAGTAGCATTCGCGATGGCAGTGGCAGTGGCAACGGCAGTCGCAGTCACAGCCTCAGCCTCAGCCTGCCTCAGCCTCAGCCTCAGCCTGCCTCAGCCTCAGCCTGCCTCAGCCTCAGCCTCAGCCTGCTTCAGCCTCAGCCTCAGTCTGCCTTCAGCCTCGGCCTCAGCCTCAGCCTGCCTCAGCCTCAGCCTGCATGCCTCAGCCTCAGCCTGCCTCAGCCTCAGCCTCAGCCTCAGCCTCAGCCTCAGCCTCAGCCTCAGCCTCAGCCTCAGCCTCAGCCTGCCTCAGCCTCAGCCTCAGCCTGCCTCAGCCTCAGCCTGCCTCAGCCTCAGCCTCAGCCTGCCTCAGCCTCAGCCTCAGCCTGCTTCAGCCTCAGCCTCAGTCTGCCTTCAGCCTCGGCCTCAGCCTCAGCCTGCCTCAGCCTCAGCCTGCATCAGCCTCAGCCTCAGCCTCAGCCTGCCTCAGCATCAGCCTGCCTCAGCCTCAGCCTCAGCCTGCCTCTGCCTCAGCCTCAGCCTGCTTCAGCCTCAGCCTCAGTCTGCCTTCAGCCTCGGCCTCAGCCTCAGCCTGCCTCAGCCTCAGCCTGCCTCAGCCTCAGCCTCAGCCTCAGCCTCAGCCTCAGCCTGCCTCAGCATCAGCCTGCCTCAGCCTCAGCCTCAGCCTGCCTCAGCCTCAGCCTCAGCCTGCTTCAGCCTCAGCCTCAGTCTGCCTTCAGCCTCGGCCTCAGCCTCAGGCTGCCTCAGCATCAGCCTGCATCAGCCTCAGCCTCAGCCTGCCTCAGCCTCAGCCTGCCTCAGCCTCAGCCTCAGCCTGCGTCAGCCTCCAGCCTGCCTCAGCATCAGCCTGCCTCAGCCTCAGCCTCATCCTGCCTCAGCCTCAGCCTCAGCCTGCTTCAGCCTCAGCCTCAGTCTGCCTTCAGCCTCGGCCTCAGCCTCGGAGCTGGACCTCAGTGACCATATGGAGGGGGGGGGGGAGTGCCTGTCTGAGTGGTGTTCTCTCTATCTCTCTCTATCTCTATTCAGCCACACCTGCCTCAGCATTCACCAGCCTCAGCATCAGCCAGCCTCAGCTCACCTCAGCCTGCCTCTGCCTCAGCCTCAGCTCTTCAGCCCTCAGCCCTCAATCTGCCTTCAGCCCTCGGCTCACGAGAAAGCCAGCCCTCAGACCTCAGGACGCAATCAAGCCTCAGCCTCAGCCTCAGACCAGCCTTACATCACCTGCCTCAGCCTCAGCCTCACCTGCCTCAGCTCAGCCTCACCAGCTACGGCATCACCTCACTCTGCCTTCAGCCTCGGCTCCGCCTCACCTCAGCCTCAGCCTGCCTCAGCCTCAGCCTGCATCAGCCTCAGCCTCAGCCTCAGCCTGCCTCAGCATCAGCGTGCCTCAGCCTCAGCCTCAGCCTGCCTCTGCCTCAGCCTCAGCCTCAGCCTCAGCCTGCTTCAGCCAAAGCCTCAGTCTGCCTTGAGCCTTGGCCTCAGCCTCAGCCTCAGCCTGCCTCAGCCTCAGCCTGCATCAGCCTCAGCCTCAGCCTCAGCCTGCCTCAGCATCAGCCTGCCTCAGCCTCAGCCTGCCTCAGCCTCAGCCTCAGCCTGCTTCAGCCTCAGCATCAGTCTGCCTTCAGCCTCGGCCTCAGCCTCAGCCTGCCTCAGCCTCAGCCTCCATCAGCCTCAGCCTCAGCCTCAGCCTGCCTCACATTCAGAATGGCCTGGACATGCGGGAATTCCTGGGAAGTCCAAGAGCACGAAGTGGCCTACAATTGGCTCCGGGCATCCAAAATGTGGCCCGGGAATGGAGTTCTGGGAACTCGAAGACCACGAAGTGGCCTACAGTTGGCTCCGGGCATCCAAAATGTGGCCCGGGAATGGAAATCTGGGAACTCGAAGACCACGAAGTGGCCTACAGTTGGCTCCGGGCATCCAAAATGTACGCCGGGAATGGGGTTCTGGGAACTCGAAGACCACGAAGTGGCCTACAGTTGGCTCCGGGCATTCAGAATGTGGCCCGGGAATGGAGTTCTGGGAGGTCCAAGAATGGAGTTCTGGGAGGTCGAAGAGCACGAAGTGAGTGACAGTTTGCTTAAGCACAGCCCGCCCTGACCCGGCCCTCGCAGTCCGAATGCCGCCCAGACTTCATTCGAGATCCTCAGATTGCATTCTATGAACACCACTATAAACCAAACAGTATCGCTGTTAGGTAATGACCCGGGAATCTAGTAACCTAACAGCGATGAGTAAGTAGACAAAATCTGGAAGCATCCCCTTTAAGATTCAGATGGAGAAGCCAGTTGTAGAAATCTGCTGTGCCTCGCAGACGAATGCCGCATTCGCGCGACAGTCGCAGTGGCAACGTCAGTTCGCAGTCACATCCAAGCCTCAGCTTGCCTCAGCCTCATCCTCACCTGCCTCAGTCCTCAGCCAGCCTCACCTCAACCTCAGCCGCCTCAGCCTCACATCAGACTGCCTTCACCTCGGCCCAATCCTCAGCCAAGCTTCACCAGACCCGCATAAGCCTCAGCTCAGCCTCAGCCTCAGCCTCAGCCTGCCTCAGCAACAGCCTGCCTCAGCCTCAGCCTCAGCCTGCCTCAGCCTCAGCCTCAGCCTGCTTCAGCCTCAGCCTCAGTCTGCCTTCAGCCTCGGCGTCAGCCTCAGGCTGCCTCAGCCTCAGCCTGCATCAGCCTCAGCCTTAGCCTCAGCCTGCCTCAGCATCAGCCTGCCTCAGCCTCAGCCTCAGCCTGCCTCAGCCTCAGCCTCAGCCTGCTTCAGCCTCAGCCTCAGTCTGCCGTCGGCCTCGGCCTCAGCCTCAGCCTGCCTGAGCCTCAGCCTGCATCAGCCTCAGCCTCAGCCTCAGCCTGCCTCAGCATCAGCCTGCCTCAGCCTCAGCCTCAGCCTGCCCCAGCCTCAGCCTCAGCCTGCTTCAGCCTCAGCCTCAGTCTGCCTTCAGCCTCGGCCTCAGCCTCAGCCTGCCTCAGCCTCAGCCTGCATCAGCCTCAGCCTCAGCCTCAGCCTGCCTCAGCATCAGCCTGCCTCAGCCTCAGCCTCAGCCTGATTCAGCCTCAGCCTAAATCTGCCTTCAGCCTCGGCCTCAGCCTCAGCCTGCCTCAGCCTCAGCCTCAGCCTCAGCATCAGCCTGCCTCAGCCTCAGCCTCAGCCTGCCTCAGCCCCAGCCTCAGATGCAGCCTGCTTCAGCCTCAGACTCAGTCTGCCTTCAGCCTCAACCTGCCTCATCCTCAGCCTGCATCATCTTCAGCCTCAGCCTCAGCCTGCCTCAGCATCAGCCTGCCTCAGCCTCAGCCTCAGCCTGCCTCAGCCTCATCCTCAGCCTGCTTCAGCCTCAGCCTCAATCTGCCTTCAGCCTCGGCCTCAGCCTCAGCCTGCCTCAGCCTCAGCCTCAGCCTGCCTCAGCATTCAAAATGTGGCCCGGGAATGGAGTTCTGGGAACTCGAAGACCACGAAGTGGCCTACAGTTGGCTTGGGGCATTCAAAATCATGCCCAGGAATGGAGTTCTGGGAACTCGAAGACCACGAAGTGGCCTACAGTTGGCTCCGGGCATTCAGAATCATGCCCAGGAATGGAGTTCTGGGAACTCGAAGACCACGAAGTGCGTTACTGTGGTGTAAAAATGAAGTCACCGGTTTTCTCTGGTTTTGTCCGGATCCCGCCCAGACCCCCCTCGGGAGTCATGATGCTTTCTTTTGACATTGCTAGAAACCTATCAGTCTTCGCTGTTAGGTAACATGCGGGGGCGGGGGCCGACGCTCGCTGCAGTGGGGAGCCCCGTCGCGGTGCGACGTGCGAACGGCCCCGCCGAGGGTGGGCCCCATCCAGTGCACGAGGTGATGTCCGCCTGTCGCCGCGGGGCGGGGCCCGAAATGTTCGATCAGAAGACGCAGGGCCGACAGCTCAAGTGGCGCGAGATTGCGCCTGAAAGTCGCGAAGATTCCCGCGCCGCTATCGATCGGGAGTTGGGTTCTGCTCGTGATGTAAGTGCGCGACGGCGCCGGGGCCAAAGCAATCGGAGGGTTTCCTCCGCGGGGTGGGCCGAAAGCGAAGCTCTGACAGCGATGTGGAGCTCAAAGACAGGAATGCCGCACTGCGGAATTCCGAACATCCGCTTCCCGTGAAGGCGGAGGCCCGACAGTGCGCGCAGGGCCGGCGCGATCCCCACGCGAAGCTTGGGGCGGTCAAGACGGGCGCTCCCGCGTTGCAGCGGTCTGGGTCCCATGCCTTCCTGCAGCTATCCGCCAACCTGGGGTGGCTTGCCTGGTTGTCAATCGGCGACATCTCGAGCGCCTTCCTGCAGGGGTGGGGGGGCGAAAAGGACAAGAGGCCCTGTGGATGCGTCAGCCGCGGGGCAGCCTTCCTGGACTGGAGCCAGACGATGGGGGTCAGTGGGGATGCGGGCGGTGGAACTCCCAAAGATCACGGGTCTGTTGCCGCTCACTCAGGCTCTGCTACCAGCCCTCCCTCCCCGGGGTACAGGTGTCGCTCCGAGCGCAGCCGCCCGCCCGCGGGCCCCTGTGCTGGAGCTCGCCCGCTCGGTTCCTCCATGCGCCCGTGGCCAACGCAGGCAGCTTCTGGCATCACATCTTCAAGAGGACCACTTTATTATCTACTCACTTGGGCCCGTGCCCTTCCCACTCCTCAGAGCTCTGAAACATAGCGGGAAGGATGAGTATTGTTCGTTTGAAGCCTACGCAACGGAGGGATTGCTGGGATATGTCAGCGTGATGGAAGTGGCTACCTACATCATCACAGTTCAGGCGGCAAGTTGCTCAAAGTGTGCCTCATTAGCGTAATATTGTGTGCGCTCTTCCCGTACTCTTCATCTGCTCTTTTGCAGCCGCTCGCGCGCCTCTTTCGTCAAGCAATTCCGCCAGCTTGCCCTACCACGCGATTCCCCACATCTACGACTTTTTCTGACTACCAGTGAGTAGGGGTGGGAATTGTTGGGTACGTTTGAGTTCAGGGGGAGATGCAGCGTGATGCGGTCCAGAGGGCCTCACGCCCCACGCAGCTTGACATCGTGACCCGCGTACTTTTCGGCATCAGTATTTCGAGCGAACCGTTCTCGAGCATGTTGCAAGCCAAGGCGCCGCGCAGTCACCTGTCCTTCTAATCCCAGGGCCAGCCGTTCCGCAGCCTTCAAGGGAAGGGCGATCTACTATGCTGGAGAGGGTGCCGTGCGCGGAAAAAAAAACCACAGGCACCAAGTGCCACGATGAGGAAGAAGGCACAGACTATTGCAGACATGTTTTTGTTCCAAAAGCTCGCGCGATCATGGTCACCCCATGGTCTCCTCCTCCTCCTTCCTCCTCCTTCTCCTCCTCTTCTTCTTCTTCTTCTTTTTCCTCCTCTTCCTCCTCCTTTCCCTCCTCCTTGCTCCCTGCTTTCCCTCCTCCTCGCGCGAGGTCGGCGGCGGACGTCTTCGCGGTCGCCGCCGCGGTGAGTGTGACGGAGCTCGGGAGTGAGCTGGCGATGATGCGGCAGCAGATGTGCAGGCGCGCGCGGCCGTCGCCGCTGCGCGGGCGTGCCCCATCTCCTCCTGTTTCCTCGTCCTCCTCCCTCTCCTCCTGCTCATGCGCCCACCTTTCTCCCTCTTCTTCATTTTCCTATTTCTTCTCCTCCTTCTTATTTCTTGTTCCTCCTCCTCCTCTTCCTCCTCCTGTTCATGTGTATCCTCCTCCTCCGTCTCGTCCTCCATCGTCCATTTCCTCCGGCTCGTCGTCGTCTTTGTCCTCCTTCTCGTCCTCCTCCTCCTCCTCTTCCTCCTCCTCTTCCTCCTCCTCCTCCCTCTTGTCTTCCTCCTCCTTGTCAGGCCACGCTTCTCCTCCTCCTCTCTCCTCCTCCTCCTCCTCCTCCTCCTCCTCCTCCTCCTCCTCCTCCTCCTCCTCCATGACTGGGGTCATCGGCTTCGGTGAAGCCGAGTGGTGCAGCGACCACGCGCCTGTCTTTCTCGTGCTGGGGGCGCGCTTAGCGCCTCGGTTTGACCGCGTGCCTTCCTGGCTGGCACGCATTGTCGAGTTTGAGGAAGAGGTGGAAAGTATTCTTACTGAAGTGGTGTTGGAGGGATCTATTGGTGAAGGGATGGACCAATGTAAACATGTTCTATACGAGGCGGGGATAAGAGTGAGGAGGAGGCGGGAAAGGAAGGGAACGAGAACTCTGCATGATAAGATGATACGATCAGCTGGATGTTCGCCGTGTTACGGGCGATGCGCGACCATCGCCTTGCTATTTTACAGCGTGCCGCCCGTGCCTATCCAGCTCTTGCGCGGTATATTGACTCGGAGGAAGGTGTGTGGACGGATGTGAATGTTTTTTTCATTATCACTTACAGGATTTGACCTTGAACAGTTTATCGGAGGAAGAGGCGGAGGTCGTACGCAGCTCTCTCCCGCAGCAAGCCAAATATGCTCAGTTGCAGCGAGCGAACCGTCTACAGCAGGCGTGGGCTCGGGTCCGAAGAGTGGCACTTTTTGTTGGCATCTACGACTCTTCTTATCAGCAAACCAAGGAACCCGATGCATGTGCCAAATTTCTGACCGATCATTGGGGCAGCGTGCACCGAGGAGCGGAACCCCACCTGCCTGCTTGTATCGAGTTCGAGTGTTTCGTGCAGGTTGCCCCCTCTCATATCGAATGGCAGCTATGCGAAGAAGAGTTTTTTGGAACGCCCCGACAAGCTCCGAGACTCTGCTCCTGGAGGGGATGGGCTACCTTATAGTTGTTGGAAGGTGGGGGAAGTTGGGAGGAATTTGCTGTACGAGCTGGATTGTCAGCTGCTGGGGCTAGGCGAACTGCCGCCCGACTTTAACGAGTGCCTTGCAGTCTTCTTACATAAAGGGGATGATGATCGGGACCGGGGCGACGTTTTTCGTGCTTCTTGCAACACCCGGCCAATCTCACTCTCCAACTCTTGCAACAAAATCATTGTTGCTGCTATCGCTCATCCGCTCTCCCGCATGGCTTCTCACACAGCTGCTTCCTGTCAGCGCTGATTTGTACCTGGCCGCAACATTGCTGACAATATTATTGATTTGGAGGGAACAAATCGAGAGTATGGGGTTGCGGAGGGGATAAGTCACGCCTCGGAGGAAACTGCCTCCTTCCACTCCTCCCTCCCTGTTCCTCCCTCCTCCTGCGGCCCTGGACGGCGTTTTTGATTGTCATGGGCTTCCTGGAGGCTTCTCGCAGCCATTGCTGGATCCGCGCCGAGCGACGGGCCAGGATGGACCACGGAAGAGGGGTCCTGGGACCGAGTTTCAGCGAATGTGGGCATGGCTGGAGAGCCGCCGTTATCTCGATTCGCCCTCCTCCTCCTCCTCCTCCTCCTCCTCCTGTTCCTTCTCCTCCTTCTCCTGCCTCCTCGTCCTCCTCGTCCTCCTCGTCCTCCTCGTCCTCTTTGTCCACTTCTTCTCCTCCTCCTCCTCCTCCTCCTCCTCCTCCTCCTCCTCCTCCTCCTCCTCCTCCTCCTCCTCCTCCTCCTCCTCCTCCTCCCCCACGCCCCCCCGCAGCACTGTCGAGCTGGTGCTGCCCCCCACCGTGCGTTGCTTCGAGCTGGACGGCCGCGTGAGGCCACGGGCTCGGCGGCCGTGCGGGCCGTGCGCCATCTCTTCTTCGACCGCTTCAACCGTGGCCTCCTTGGAAGAAGGACTCCTCCTCCTCCTCCTCCTCCTCCTCCTCCTCTACCGCCTTATCCTCGCTTCCCTCATTTGTCCTCTTTCTCACTCCTCTCGCTCCTCCTCCTCCACCTCCTTCTCTACCGCCTTCTCCTCGCTTCCCTCACTTGTCCTCTTTCTCACTCCTCCTCTCCTCTGCCTTCTCCCTCTCTACCGCCTTCTTTTCGCTTCCCTCACTTGTCCTCCTTCTCACTCCCCTCGCTCCTCCTCCTCCTCCTCCGTAGCCATTTTGGCTCAAGTCGCCACCACGCTCGAGCCCCTGCAGAGAGCGCGCGGCGGCGGGCGCGGCCGGGCCGGGCGCCCGGGTGCAGGCCAAGTGGCGTGGCGCTGCTCGGCGATGGAGGCCCTGCCGGGCGGGGGCTTCTGGTGCGGTTGCTGCGAGGCCGCGATGTGGCCGCTCCCCGGTGGCGGCGCCGCCGTGCCAGTGGTCGGCGTCATCGTGCACCAGTGGATGATGCAGGCTGGCCTTCCGCAGCCCGGGTGCGTGCCGCTGGCGGCGCCAGGCGCATGGCGGCCAGCGGAGCAGGTTGCTGGCGACAGCTTGGGTGGCAGCCTGGAGCTCCCGGAGGACAAGGGCGACGCGGAGCCTTGGCAGGCCCCCAGGCGACTGGGGCGGGCGGCTGGGCGCGGGGCCAGGCCGGCGAGGCCGATCCGCCTGGCGAGGGGTTTCGCGGCCCTCGGCAGCGGCGACGACGCGGTGCTCACGGAGGCGATGGCCGTTGCGGCCACCGAGGCCGAGGTCGGTTCGATGGCGGGCGCTGCCGCGGCGGGGCGCGTCGTGGACAGGCCCCTGGAGGCCAAGCTGCCCCGGGTGCGGTCGCCGCCCGAGTCCGAGGTGACGGTGCAGGTGGTTGAGGACACGGTCGTCGTCGGCGCGTCTGTCTGTCGACGCGGAGGTGGAGGAGCTGGAGACACGGGCCCGCTTGGAACGCGCGGTGCAAGACGGCGCGAAGCTGGAGCTGGAGATCGGGAAGGCGGAGGGGGTCGAGGGGTCCGCCGTGGCTGGGATGGACGCTGCGGGGCCGCCCCCGCTGGGCCCGCAGGCGCGCCGAACCCGTCGCGGCCGCCGAGGCCATTGCGCGGCCGAGGCCGTGGCCGAGGCTGCGGTGCTGGCGGCTGCGGACGGCGCCGGTGTTGTGTCGGAGGAGCGCGTTGAGCTCGACGCCGAGCTCGAGGCGGGGCTCGATGGAGAGGCTCATGCCGTGCCCGACCCGTGCGACCCGTCCGACCCGTTCTCGGTGAGCGTCGCGGAGCTCGACGCGGGTCCTCGTGATGGCGAGGTCGTCCGAGACGACGCGGAGGTGTCAAGCCTCGACAGCCTCGACGCGCGCGCCGCGGCGCTCGACGCGGAGCTCGCGGAGCTCGAGGAGGCGGAGCTCATGGCCAAAGAGTGTGTGCAGACATCAGCCCTCGCGCGGGAGTCGCACGCCGAGATGGCCGGGAAGGTGGTGCCCGTGCACTCGGCCGTCCAGGAGGCCCAGGTCCAGAGCACCATCCAGGCCGCCCTTGCGGAGGCCGACAGGAAGATCGAGCGTGAGAAGTTCCGAGCGTGAGCAGCAGGCGGCGGCCGCGCGCGCAGGGCGGCCTGGAACCTGCTGGATTCGCCTCGAAATTCTCTGGCGCCCTCCCCGCGCGTGGGTTTGGGGTTGGGCGCGGTGGAGACGGGGTTCGCACGGGGTGCGAACACTCTCTCCCCTCCGGGCGGGTCCTGGGGTCCGCGGGTGGCCCTCGTGGGCTTCCTGGCTCGCCCTTCTTGTCCCCGCGGGGGTGGCACTCTGCTGGCCTCGGCCCGCTGCCGCGGGCCCTCGCTGTGCGGACTGCCTGTTTGGGCGTTCGGGGCTCCTGAGACCCTCGTCGCCACTTTCCTGCAGGCGCCCTGGTCTCGGCCGCGGCAAACCTGCGGAAGCTCGCGCCCTCCTCCTCCTTCTCCTCCTCCAACTACCAACTCCACCATCTTCCTCATCCTCACTCCCCTCCTCTGCCTCCACCGTCCCTCCTCCTCCTCCTCCTCCCTCCTCCTCCTCCTCCTCGTCCTCCTCCTCCTCCTCCTCCTCCTCCTCCTCCTCCTCCTCTGTCTCATTCCTCCTCACTCCTCCTCACTCCTCCTCGCTCCTCTTCACTCCTGAGCGAATTCGCCATGTCCTTTGGTTTATCCAGCTCAAACCTCCCAGCCGCCTGCGAATCAGGAGGGAGTCGGCGCCGCGCTTGGGAGGCGAGCTCGCGGGCGAATCGCTGGCTCGAGCGAGGTAAGGAGGTTTGCGACGGACGGAGGGAGTGATGCAGAGAGAGGGAGGGCAATATTGGAGGGGTGAGTGGGAAAGGCAGGGTGCTGGGAGTGGGGGAGAGGAGGGGCAGGTGACGGGGGAATGGCAGGGGGAGGGGCAGGGGGGGGGACGGTGGAAGGGGGGCGGGGAAGGGAGAGGTGTAAGAGTGGCCAGGGAATGGAGTAGTGGGATTGGGGGCTGGGGGGCGACGGCGGGGGCGAGGTGGGGGTGGCAGGATTGCAGGGACCGAGGATGGCAGGAAGGAGGTGGGGATGGAGATGGGGGAGGGGGTGGGGATGCGCGTGGGGGTGGGGGGGTCGGCGGGCGGCGACGACGACGGAAAGGAGAAATATACATCCGAGCAGCAGCAGCAGCAGAGGACACGAGGGGACCTGCCTGTGCCTGAGTGAACGCAGACGCGGGGGCGCGCGGCTGACGTGCGGCGGCGGCGGACGGGCGGCGGTGGCCTCGGATCTGGGAGTGGTCCATCAAGCACGCCCGGATCACTCCTCCTCGTTCCCCCATCCTCCTCCTCTTCCTCCTCTTCCTCCTCCTGCTCCTCCTCATCATTATCCTGATTTTGCTCCTGTTCCGCCCCTTCCTCTTCTTGAACTTCGTCGTCGTCCTCCTCCTCCTCCTCCTCCTCCTCCTCCTCCTCCTCCTCCTCCTCCTCTCTCCCCAACCCGCTCCTCAGCTCGAGCGCGCTGTGCGGATTCTTGGCAGGGTGGGGGCGCCTCCGAGGCCAGGGCTCGTGCTGCTGCTGGTGTGGGGGCTGGCGTCGAGGCGGCCGTCGGACGGGGGCGGGGTCGCCTTCTGCGGGGGGGGTGTCCTACGCAGTGGGGCGGCAGTGCCTCTCGCCCTTCCCCCTCCGCCAGCAGAGGAGGAGAAGGATGAGGAGGAGGAGGAGGACGAGGAGGAGGAGGAGGAGGAGGAAGGAGGAGGAGGAGGAGAAGGAGGAAGAGAAGGAGGAGGAGGATTGAATGAGGAAGGAGAGGAAAGGAGGAGTAGGAGGTGAAGGAGGAGGAGGAGGCGAGAGCAGGATGATGATGATGAGGAGAGGAGGAGGAGGAGGACTATGAGTAGAGCAGGAGGAGGAGGCGGAGGCGGAGGCCATGAATGGTGATGATGCTTCTGATTATTATGAACGAAGCTGATGAGGAGGAGGAGGATGGGGAGTCGGAGGTCAGGAGGAGGAGGAGGAGGAGGAGGCGGGAGGAGGGGAGGACGAGGATGAAAGGACGAGCGTAGGACGATGAGGAGACAAGAGGAAGGAGGAGGAGGAGGAGGAGGCGGAGGCGGAAGCGCGGAGGCATGAGGAGGACGAGGGAGGAGGCTGAAGAATGGAGGAGAATGAGATGAATGATGAGAGGAGGATGAGGAGGGGGGGGGAGGAGACGAGGAGGAGGAGGAAGAGGAGGTGGAGGAGGAGGAGGAGGAGGAAGAGGAGGAGGAGGAGGTGGAGGAGGAGGAGGAGGAGGAGCTCTCCCCATCCGCCAGACGGGAAAGATGAGGAGAGAGGGATGAGCAAGAGGAACAGTTGGAAGACGAGGAGTGGAGGGATCAGGATGGTGGCCATGCAGCAGCATACACATCGAGGTGACACACTATGACTATACCATATTGCGGGAAACTAGATAAGAAGGTGTGTTAGCCAGCGTGGACCCCGAACAACGAGCATTACGTATACAGTGTGCAATCTAGTTGGGGCAAGACATGTAGTAACATCTACATGGTGACATCTATATTGTGCAATATAAGTTGTGCAATCTATGTGGTGCATTCCATCTGGTGCACTATATGCGGCGCCATATAGGTGGTGCACTCTATGGTGCAATTCATATGGTGAGAGCTATCAGGTGCAATCGACGTGGCGCAGCGTATGTGGTGCAATACATGTCGTGCATTCTAGGTGGTACATTCTATGCGGTGCAATCCACTTTGACTGTCTTGAAGCTGTCCTCTCCACCGCTCGCGCAAACATCCCACCCACCCACCCGCAACTTGTATTGCAAAATCTCTTAAGACCGTGACGGTGGGTACCACATGGCACTTGGCAACGACAGCGACGCCGACGACGACAGCGACAACGACGACGACGATGCCGCCAACAACGACTACGACGACACGGACGACGTCTCCAACGACATTTCGACGACGGGCCGACAGCGTGACTACGACACACCGACAACCGAACGACGACAACTACGGCCAATCCGCCGACGACGACACGACGATGACAACGACGAGAGATGACGAACGCGACGACGACCTACGACAACTGACGACACCGACGACGACGACGACGACGTCAAAACGACCCGTCGACGACGAACGACGGCGGCGACGACGGACGACGCCTCCTCACTAGACGACACGAAGACGGCGACGACCGCCGACGCCGACGAACTACGACGAAGACGAACGACGACGTCGCCAACGAAGGACGACGGACGAGGGAAGATGTGGGAGGACGACGACGCGACAAACGCCGACAAAACGACGACAAACCGACGAGGGGCGGAGGGAGGACGTCGACGACGCGATCGACGATAGCACCACAAAAGGACGGCAGACGCCGACCCCAGCTTCCGACGACGACAACGACGAGGGTGGAGGGACGACCTCGACGACGACAACGACGACGACGACGACGACGGCGACGAAATAGTAGGGACGACGACGAGACGCTGACGACGGACGACGACGACCACGAGGGAGGAGGAGGAAGGACGACCACGGCGACAACGACGACGGACACGACCACGACGCCAAAGAGGACGACGACGACGAACACGAGGAAAGACAGAGGACGACATAGGCGACGACGACGACGACGCGGGATGAGGGAGGACGGCGACGACGACGACGACGACGACGCAAGAGCGCGCGCACACGCTTTTGTTGAAAATCCGTGTTGCGAAACCGTGTGTTTTTTGTCGTTTTTTTGGACACGATTTTGAACTCCTTCCGAAACCGTTGGGTTTTGAAGCATTTCGGCATACACGCGCGACGACGCGCGCGTCTCCTTTTTTTTCGTTTTTTTGCAGAGGATTCTCGAGACGGCACACGCGCAAGGACAATCGTCAGATTTCGGCATGCGCGCGCGAAGCCCGTTTGGTAGCATTTTGTGAAAATCTTGAAAACCTATGGTTATCTTAAGATTTCGCAAGAGCTCGCGCGTAAGCTTTGTTGGCAAATCAGTGCTCATGATCCTGATGACGGTGGTGGTGGTGGTGGTGTCGATTATGTTCATGATGATGATGATGATGATGATGATGATGATGATGATGATGATGATGGTAATGCAGAGGATAATGGTGATGTTGAGAATGATGGGGATGATTATGATGCCGATGCTGATGATGGTGATGATGCTGATGCTGATGATGGTGCTGCTTCTGATGCTTCTGATGATGATCATGATGCTGCTGATCATGATGATGATGATGATGATGATGATGATGATGACGAGGAGGAGGAGGAGGACGACAATAATGAAGATGATGATGCTGACGCTGATGATGCTGATGCTGGTGCTGGTGCTGATGCTGATGCTGATGCTGATCCTGCTGTTGATGCTGATGTTGAGGAGTTTGTGCTTATGATGCGGATGTTGATGCTGCTGGAGGCGACGATGCAGATGATGACAATGATGATGATGATGATGGTGATGGTGATGCTGATGATAACGATGATTGATGGTGCTGATGCTGATACTGATTCTGATTATGCTGCTGATGCTGGTGATGCTGAGGATGATGAGTTTGATGCTGATGCTGATGCTGCTAATGACGACGATGATGATGCTGTTGGTGATGAATATGATCATGATGACGATACTGATGACGGAACTGGTGGTTGTGGTGGTCGTCGAGGTGATAATATCGATGCGGATGGCGATGCCGAAAATCACGATGACGACGATGGCGATGACGATGCTGTTGATGATAATGATATTTGCTGTTGATGTGATGCTGACGTGATGGTGGCGCCGAGGATGGTGACGATGGTGACGGTCATGGTGCTCATGATCCTGATGACGGTGGTGGTGGTGGTGTCGATTATGTTGTTGATGATGATGATGATGATGATGATGATGATGATGATGGTAATGCAGAGGATAATGGTGATGTTGACAATGATGGGGATGATTATGTTGCCGATGCTGATGATGGTGATGATGCTGATGCTGATGCTGATTATGATGCTGCTGATGACGATCATGGTGCTGCTGCTGCTGATGATGATGATGATGATGATGATGATGATGATGATGATGATGGCGAGGAGGAGGAGGAGGAGGAGGAGACGCAGGCGGATTATGATGTTGGTGACGATGTTGATGCTGGTGATGCTGATGATGGTGATGCTGACGATGCTACTAATGATGCTGCTGCTGATGATGCTGTTGATGCTGATGCTGATGAGGATGACGACGATGATGATGCTGATGATGCTGATTGATGGTGATGATGCTGATGGCGATGGCGATGGTGATAGTGAGGATGACGATGCTGAGCATGCTGATGATGCTGATGATGGTAAT